TAATAATAATAATAATAATAATAATAATAATAATAATAATAATAATAATAATAATAATAATAATAATAATAACAATGAAAAAAAAAACAGGCTTTAAGGGAATTTTTGCTCTTCAAATTTTAGTGTACAATTTTAATTAAAAGAACCAAATTATGTATTTATTTAAAAATGTATATTGTTTTAAGTGATTAATTAATCATTTATTGACTTTTTTAATTTGGAGAATAAATGTTGAAACCGAAAGGATAACAAGCAACAAATATGTGGAATATTATTCTTCATCTTTCGGTGCAGAGGGACCTTTTTTCTTTTTCTTTGTCCAATCAATATTATTTTTGAATTAATTATGCTTGAGAAAATGACATATTAAAGACTAAAGAGTGAATTAATAGTTAAGTTTTGACTTATTTTTCACCTTTCAAAAAATGGGGAAAAAAAAAGGGGGCAAATGCAATAAGATAGCCTTTCATTGTTCATTTGTCAATGTCACTTTGAATAACCTCTCATTTCAATTTATCAGTTTCAATTTGAGGGGGGAATTTATTCTTCATAAATTGTATTGGAAATAATTTTAGTGGATAAGAAGAATTATAATTAGGTTATAAAATTTAGGGGAAATGCTACGATCTCGTTACGGATTCATTATGTCGGGGTTTGTAACCGTTAGATCATCATGTAATCGTCAGATATAGTTGGTTTAACGGTTACAAACACTAACAGAATGGTTCCGTAGCGAGACCGTAACATTTCTCAATATTTAGACTAGCTAATTGGATTAACTGATTATATAAAGTGTTTGGTAAATAATTAGCATGTGTAAAAACAATAAGTTTTACAATTCTCTATATAACTCAAAAAAATTCAATTTCAAGCCTTTTCAAAATTAATTTTTGGATCTAAAATGCTACAAGATTGAGTCATGTGTAAATAGTTAATTTGGTGGCCAAAAATACCTGCAGATGCATAATTAGTGTTATTTATAGATTATTAGAAAATGCTAAGGTTTCGTTACGAACCATTTCGTCGGGTTTGTAACCGTTAGAGATAGTTGATCTTAGGGGTGAGCATCGGTGCGGTTCGGTAAAAAACCGCACCGCACTGAAAAAAACCGAAAACCGAATTTTTAAATTTTTTTTCACCGAACCGCACTGCTATAGAAGGAAAAACCGAATCGCACCGAACCGAAATTTTCGGTTCAGTGCGGTTCGGTTTTTTGGTTAACCGAAATTAAAAAGATAACTACCAATTAATGTTATGTAAGTGAAATTATAAAAATTATTAAAAAAATAAAAAAAAGTGACATTTTATTACATTCGGTGTGGTTCGGTTAAAACCGCACCATTCAGACAGAAAACCGAATTGCACCGAAATAGTTGCGTTTTTTCAAAACCCAAACCGCACCGATAACCGAACTTACCAAAAACCGCACCTAATAGCTCGGTTCGGTGCGGTTTTTCAGTTCCGGCTCGGTTTTGCTCACCCATAGTTGATCTAACGGTTACAAATCCGCGGAATGGTTCTGTAACGGGACTTTAGCATTTCTTATATTATTATATTAGTGTCACCCAATCCTGAAATTATACAAAAGTCAGACTTAATAGTTAAGAAAAAAAAAATATAACATTTTTATACAGATTGTGTTACAATCACATAAATTAAACATCTTAATCCCAAAATCTGTACCTTTTAAATTTTAATTTTTTTTGTCCCTAAGAGTTGGATAATAGTTGCAAA